AAGTGAATGTCGTAACCTGCATTTCCGAGTCGAAAACGGTGGAGCAAGCGCTGAAGCAAACCATACTATCTTCTGTATCAACTGCTGCTGTATCCTTCCAATAAGAATGAGTCTCGAATGCAGACATCTCGACGGCCAGTCTGGCAAGAATAAGATGAGCAAGTTGAGAAAAATCTAAAGTATCCGCTACAGACGTGGTATTGGTGACCAAGCGGTTGGATATGCGAGAAAGCTGGTGGAGAAGACTAGTTAGGAGGACAGCTTGGAGGTCGACCGGACCACTCATTTGAAAGGAAGGTGGACAGATAGTACTGGGGCTAGTATAACTATGGGAAGGGAATAAAAAATGCGGATAAACGAGGGATGCATAGAAAGTATTAAATGCGGATGTCTGATTGTTAGCGAATGAATACCTAATAGTATAATAAAAATAATAAATCGAGTTGCTGCAAAAAAAGTATGAGATCACTATAGTAAGCATCTACTAGTAGCTAGTGTGTCTATTGAGAGTTTGACTATTCGCAATACATAAAGCCAGTACAATTCTTAAAAAAAAACAAATTAAGGAGACATAGTATGGCTGTAGCCAGTTAGACATCGGAAAGTTAAAAATGCAGTACTAGTGTTCATCCATTCTTAATTTATAATGACGCGAATACATTCATTATTGCAGCAGTGGAATTAAATTTTTGTGCACGAAATTTTGCCAGGTCAACCTCGTTTTCGAAACTTCGTCGCTGTGTCAGGAAGACCTGAATGGACGCTCTTTGTCCAGAGTCCTCTGATAGAAGTTATGATAATTTCCAGCATTGGACTACTACCTTTTCATATGTTTAATCGGCATAATTAAAGAGCATTTCCATATGTAACACCAAGCTAAGACTCATCAGAGACAAATGAATCCATCCCCTGAGCAAATTTTACCAGAAATTGTGGTATCTCTCCTATCCTATATTATGATGGAAGAAAGATCTTAAGGGATGGACTTCACTTGCCTTATTGACGAGTTGTAGCTTGATGCCAAGAATGGCAAGGATCCCTGACGATGCTGGGGAAACGTCTGGGAGTACACCAAGTCCAGTTTCCGATTCTGGGAATTATCATATGAACTTCGGACAAGGTGCGTTCATCCAAGTCTCTCTGACAATAGTACCAAGTTGCGAAAATGAGGTCAAACCACTTGCGTACAGAGGAAGGAGCCACACAATCTTAGTCGTTTTGCCCTAGATTATATGCACTACTATTCTGTCGAGTTTAGGAACTTGATTTTTTTAAAACGATTTTATGTATATTCTTCCATCATATACCTAGCCATGGGACTAAAAAGTATGTTAAGAAGATGGAAATACAGAAGTGCTTATTATGATGTTGAAAAATCAGATTAAAATAGTAGTTAGTTTAACTACTAAGTACAAGTTTAGTGACCAGCATCATGTCATTTCAAACATAGTAAACGACCATTTATCTTGAAATATGAAAAGGCATCAAGTATTTAGTTAAATACGCTTTATAATCCCATAAAGCGACTATGTATAGAGATGATGGATTATTTTTGTGATGTACCAATTATAAGATTTGATGCGTAATTAAGGTGAAGTGCATTTGAAAAGAAATTAATGCTATACAGATATAGCATATATTACGTTAAGCAATGTTATCAAAGCCTCTTATATTTGAGTATTTCCGTACCCATAATGTTATCACTTCGTTACGCTTACTTTAATTTAAAATATGCTGTCGGCGTGTTTGCTTAAAAAATTATCTGCGAGTACGTCGTAATCTCTCACCTGAAATTATGCTCTGGCTTAGTGTCCCTTTGACTCAAAAGGACTTCCAAGCGTCGCAAGCAAAATAGAACAAAGCAAGAAGGCTGATTGTAAGAATCGATGGGCCTGTCTGTCTTTTCGATATCTTCAATATTCTCCGATCCGTCAGGATGTATTTTGCTGGCCTCTGTAGAACAATACTTAGTGT